TAGTACTTTTTTTGGTCTTCAAATTTAGTTTAAAGCCACATGTATTACTTCGTGTCATTCTGGGGGTGATGAACAAGCGTTGTACGTTTTGAAAGTGGAACAATAAAAAGAAAGTTCAAAACTCTATCTTAAACACCTGTAAAGAATTTCTCCACAGTTCTAGACTACCTGAAGAATCACTGGAAATACATTAGTAGAAGATTTTTTTTAAACGAACATATTGTGAGGTTTTTTTAAACGAACATATTGTGAGGTTTTTTTTAAACGAACATATTGTGAGGTTTTTTTTAAACGAACATATTGTGAGGTTTTTTTTAACCGAAGCGCAGTGAACGCCTCGCGGGTTTGCAATGAAAACTGCGCTATGCATTCCGAACTTTGTTGGAGCAACCAGGGCTTTTGAGCACAGTACTGTACTCACAAACTATCATTCTTTGACTGAAACTCGAAACTGTTCTCTCGTTACGTCACATTCATAGAAAAAGAAAACTCAGGAATGTAACAATAAGTGCGGCGGAGAGGAAACGCCGAAACATCTTTGAAGCGCACCGGAATTCGTGCAGGACTTTGAGTACAGTACTCAGTACTCAACTTCCATCCAACAGCGTTCAAATTATGAACCAAGTGCGGTTAATGCCAAAACAGGTTCCAATATGTATACGAGACTGTGCTGTACTGTATATATCTTTTCTTTTTTTTTCGGAACAGCTGCTTTACTCCAGATTTCGACGGCGACATTATCCGGGTCGCCGAGTGATCCGCGGGTAACCGCATTCCGAAGAAGGCATTAAACTGCGATTGGGATCGAAAAATCCGGACCATGAAGAACTCCAGTCTCCGCCGCCGGAAGGAAACGAGCTTGGGGACCCATAAGAGTCGATGAGGCGAAGGTCCTCCGGCGGGAACCACGGCATGGTGCTACCGGAATGCGTCCTCGCCGCAGACAATCGCATCGTGACCCATGCAAAAAAGGAAAGAAAGGAAGCACGGGTGGAAGACCAAGAGGGAAGAAATTGATGGTCTCGCCGCGCATTTTAGGGAACGATTATTTGGTTCATCGGCGGGCCGTCTGGTTTGCCAGGTCAGTCACATTCATCATGCCTGAGTTCATTTCTGCGTACAGGGTGGTCGAACAAGCCGCCGTTCGTCGAAATCCAGGAGTTAACGATATTTTCACCCATTTCGCTGATGTTAAAGACAACATGATCAATTACTGTATCGTCTTCCTCTGGAAATTACAATACAATACAATACTGCATATACAGTACAGAACTATGGCAAATGTCCAAGCCAAGCCAACCCTCTTGCGCATTTTGGAACTGTCGGCTTTGAAATCCAACAATAAGCGCTCTTATTTAGACTATTTCGCTAGAAAGCCCGGAAGCTTGCGAACAACCCAACAATTATGTTTATTAGCTGCTGTCGTAGAAATAAACACCGATTTTTATTTCCCAAGAATGCACAATTGTATACGTGGCCTCGGATCATTCACGAAAAAATGCGATTTTGAAAGTTTCGAAGCTTCACTCAAGTTCCTACCGGCTTGGAAAGTCGTGAAAATAATACAAATAGGATGGACATAAAGGATTGGTAGATTTAGCAGGATTTTCCCTTAGGAAAATGTAAATCCGCGATTCCATCAGTTTTTAAGAATGTAAGAATGGCAGAAAAAATATCAGATTTTTCAACCGATGGCATGCGCATCACTACTGGTACAGTCGCATTAATGTTCGACAAGCATTCTTACAACGAGTTATTCTTCACAAAGAATTTTAAAGGGTCCCTTAAAAATTATGCTGGTATAGACTGTGCAAAGATTTTGCCAGCAGCGATATTCAATAAAACGAGGATTATTCTCCAAACAATATTGTCCATAAAATGAAAGTACTGTACTGTATATTCTTCGCACAAGTACTGCGTTTGATTTTTTCCAGATACTGACATACTTAATGGACGGGCGGACTTTCTGTACAGCGATTTTGTTTACTGTACCGGCTTTTACTGAATTAATTGTTAAGCCTTCTGACAGTCTTTCTATTTTATGTAAAAGCAACTGCTTTGAAAAATTATTAAATGCAAAATGAATGCCTCCTACATATTCCCGTAAGTATTACCACAGATATGGAGATAATCAACTAGCACCTAATCGGATCCTCAACCTAAAAAATTGTCTTTTCCCCCCTGAATTATCGTTGTAGAGGAAGTACAGTAAACTCATTTACGGGGATTTTAGAATCGGTGTCTAAAATTAGATGAGGGACTACTTACAAAAATATCAATTTCCAGGAAATACGCGATGGTTGCGAAAGTTGATGAAATGTCTTTGACGTTATTTCACACGCAAGACGCAACCAGAACCGAAATTCGTTCCAGGTGGATAACAAATGCAGCATAAATAATAATAAAATTTGGCAAGAAAGGCATCGTCTGGATGGACGGCATGACTGATGGAATACGGGCTTATTGTTTTGGGCCAGTCCTCACTCGAGGCTCGTGCCCACGAGAGGTTTCCCTACGCCTCACACGACCCTAGGGAGTAGTCGGCAACAGGGCCTGATTGTGCCGGCGTGTGATGGGACCCGGTCCGAGTTCCGTGAGCATTGCCCTGGCCCAGATTGGCGACAATAGTTGCTCATACACTCCACGCATCATTTGTCACCGAGCTCGTGACATTTAGAACCCCTGGCCGAGTCCGATGAACGTTCCGCAACGCGCAAACGTCCAAGCATCTGACATCAGGGAATTTTGATGGTTTTCCGCATCTAACAATGCACCCACTACATGCGCATTCGGAGTTCATCGACGTCCACTGCATTTTGGAAAAAAATAAGTCAGTCAATAATAATAATGTAGTCCGCAAAACCGTTGCGAGTATCATCAATGAAAGGACGTTATTTTTATCCAGAAATGAAGTAAATTTTGTATTCGGATGCGGCCTATCTTTCTAATATTTGGCTATCGGTATAGGCCGCACCTCAGCCGCATTTCTTCAAACACTCGAGCATAGCTCGAACCATGGTCAATAAATGAGCGTTGCTTATACTGTACTCGAAACTATACGCATAACATATACCAAATAATCTTATAATTTCAGAAAATATAGCAAGTTTTGCCCTACAAAGGCCGGATTATTCTCCAACATTTTCATCTTTCCTCCTGCGATCATCGCACTAAAACGTGTGCAGTGCTGTACTGTATTTCCGTTTCGGTCAGATGACGCAGAAGCCGTTTGAAAAACTGCGATTCACGCCTGTTAACTTCTGTCATGAAATGCGGCTATTACAAGTTGTGATCGAGAATAAAACAGAAGCACGAAAATTTCCCATTTTCTTCTCAGCAGGCAGAAACTTGACGAGGACAGCCGAGCAGCAGATGAAAAGCATGCATTTGAAATTTCTGGACATCGTGAGAGCCACCCTCTTCCCCGAGTTACCATCAAGGAAGAATAAAAACTGGTTCTCTGGCCTCCGTTACAATACAAAAATAGCTTGACCAATATTATATTATCTGTAAACGGAGATAACCCATCTTCATCATCATTAAAAGGAATCCTCTGACGGATTTCTCATCAGGCAAGGCATGAGCGGATTAGCTCGCCACGATATCTACCAGTCGCTTGGGGAGGTTCAATTGAATTTTACGTAATTTGACTCGAACAGTTTTAAAATCCGGCCATAAATGGTGTGGTACACGGCACACCCGGTAAACTGTATACATTGATGAAATGCGTAAAATTACTGCCGTGTATTGATGGCTCTCAGCGAACGGGCAATGAAGCTACCGATTGACAAGGATTCGGTGCTCACATGAGTAATATTTTAATTTATTTGAGGTTTTGACATTATTTGGGTGACGCACAGCATTGGTCCAAATTGTCAATCTACACGGATTGATCGCGAAATCTTACCACTTCTATTCGAGAGCGAACGTACGCATCGAAACTAAAACATGAATGCAAAATCCTTCATGAGTCTTCGTTTCTCTGAATCTCAAAAAACAAGCAGGCTTTCTGAAGATTTTTTCTGATTTTCCAGCCGCACAAATATGAAAATTTTCAAGTCAAGTGCGATCTAAAAAAAGACAATACAGTACAGTACTTGAGTTCAGCCTGTGAACTACTCAGCAGCAGATTTTTACCCTTGAATGGATTATACTGTATCTTCCTCTGAAACGAAAGTGAGAAATTTGCCAAGTGAAAAAAAACTTGATTTTCATTTTGTTCAACATTACTTGCTTCATTACAAAACTATGTTAACCCAAACCTGAGACATTGAAACGAATATCGGCCAAATTATAAAATCAATGCGACATATACTTCACACGAATGGCACAAGTATTATGCTGCACCAGCATTTTTGAATGCAATTTTTGTGGGGGGGGGGGGAATCCGGCGTGTACTCAAATGCGTTCAAATATAAGAAACACTACAAAGAATTAATTTTTCATATTATAGAATATCTGGAGACACCTTAAATGTAATAGGTTCTTACATTTGATTATGTTGTACGTTAGCAGGTCAAGTGCGCGATTGATTTTTACCTGTACAAAATATATTTAAAAGTCTTCTTGGAAAAAATCCCTGCTAGAATTTTTAGTCTAATCGAGTTAGAATCATAATTTGTGTTCGAATTGTTTGTGGAAGTTGTTCTGATGCCTAATTATCAATACAGTACTGTTTATTGAATATGATGAAAGTGAGTCATACATTAGCAAGCACATTTTTCTTCAACTTTTGTGACATAAATAAACCAGAGTCGCGTCTCACACAACCGAAGTCTTCTTATGCTTGAGTTTCTACGGCACATTAATTATTTAAACTGCAATCGGCGATGACGCATTGGTGGCGAAGCATCACGCATCATCAGTTCGCGATGAGCAGATTCCTGGCCATTTCTTCAGCAACGACAACCGTTTCACGCAATACCCGGGCACAGCGACTCGGAATTGGTTTGACCCCCGACTCACACAGTTATCCATTAGACTCCTAGCGGGTGAAAATCTCACGGTAACGCCGGAAGAGATTGTTGACGGCCGTCAGGCGAATAACGGTTTCCGGGCAGCGGAATTCTTGGGCTTTTGGGGCTCGTTCGAGGGAAATTGACCGCGGACCGAAGAATCGTGTCTTCCATTCGGGCGGCATCGACTGCAAACGGGTGCAGAAACATCGGTTTGCAATGGTCCATGCTACCCGTACGGATGTAATACAATGTACACGGCTGTCCGACATATCCTAGGACAAGACCCAAGTGACACCTTTTCATCCCGACGAGTATGAAAGCATCGTCCTCGTATTCGTAATCACTTGTAGAGCTCTCGCGGTCTAATTAGAGTAATTGTCCCGAGAATGAACCCAGCCGTCACTCGGAGGCTCTAATTTGCAGGCCATGGTTAAGACAGCATTTCTGCAAGAAGTAATTTTTGCGTGAAGTTCACCGAAAAAAATGTCCGCTCACCGTTCATGAGAGTCAATGAATCAGCAGTACAAATATGGTACTTGCGAATCTGCGATTACAGTAGGCTAAGCTTCTTCGCAAATTACCGGCGAAGCACGTATTGATGTTGGACAGCTGAAATACATTATAAGGCGAAACGCAGCATCACATTTTATGTCAAACTGTTTGAAAAACGTTTGTAACGACGCAAATTTACATCGCTTATTTTATGGTCGCAGGTTGCACATTTATCCCGAAAGGTTTACAGTTTCTTGAATTCATTTGGAATTCAATTTCAAATGTTTCGAAGAATTCTCGCAGGACATAGGAACAAGTAATACTGTCGTACTTTTCTCTAATTTGTACTAGCTTTACGTGAGTGTATGATTTATTTTAAAAAAGAACCTCAGAAAATGTTCAGTTCGTCATCAATCGGGAAAAAATGTTCAACGATCCCAGTTTCTGGATGCCCTGCGATAAAGTAAAGTCTCGTTTACTTTTACCATTTACCGATCTCATTTGCATACTCATGGTAACAAATTTCTGCTGAGACGATGTGACGACGAAGGCGGACTAACTTCACTCCAATTATCCAAAATTAAACAGAGAACCGTTTTTGAAACTGTTGGAAGCATCACCCTCCGTCACGCTCGCCACTTGTACATAGCCGCACACACGAGATGACTCGATATGCTGGGCAAGCAGCAAATCGAGAATCTGGTGAGCAATGAACGCAAGGGCAGGAGAGCGTGACAAGAATGCTGTTCGAAATTCTGCGTCGGTATCCGTTCTGGTCACCTATCGTCAAGGTACGTTGTTTCCCAAGAATGTCAGCATTGTGCACGTAACTGCATAGCGAGAGGTATCGGCTGGCTTTTGAACCAGACGCTAATGAGAGAAGCCCGGAAAGCTAATCGCACCGCAGATTTCCCGACGAATGTGATCGCCGAGACAATAAAATAAATCCCCTTCTTCTCCAAGAGTTCTCTGGCCTCGACATTCAAGTCCAACCACGAGCTCGCTGATCAATGAAGCCATATAAATCAGCCGCATCACGCTGTAGTATTTTATAGTTTTGACTATACTGTATATTCAAATTGCAGGGCCACAAAGTACTGCGCCAAGCAGCAGTTGCCCCAGAAACATCGACGGAAATATTTCTTCGGCGTTATCTTTTTCAGACGTTTTTAATCCTTTTTCGAACAGTACTGAGTTTTTCTCTGATAATCAATCGGCATAGTGTATTACTTGATTCACAATGTCGAGAAGACATTATTCCACTGAAGATCCTATTTTCAAAATGGCATGTTTGAAAGGCTGTCGGGTTTCAGAAGTGTACTGTAGAATGTAAATTGGTTCAAGTACCGCATTCGTGTGACTCTGATTCTGTTTTTTTTTTCATGTGTGCCCAAAAAGTTTTAAATGATCTATAGTCTCTTTGCGCTAGATAATGTAGTTAATTTATCTAAAATTTATGAAACCTTGATGCGGGATATTGCTTGTGCATGCCGCACGAAAATTAACGCAACTCTCCTGAGTCCCTCGAGGTCTATCTGGAGATTTTTATTTCTTCAGTTATTAACTCAAACAAGTTTGTTATTATTTACTTCTCATCTATTCTTCGAGGAAAACAAACAGACTTTTCCCAGGTAAAAATCACATTTCTCCTTCAGAACCTAAAAATTGAGGCTCATACAGAGGACACAAATATGTGTGTGGCTATAATAATTGCGTATAAGAGCACTGATTGCAATTTTCATCTGAATTTGTTTTTCTATAGTAATAATGCATGATAAAACAACCCAGAGTTCAGAGACGACGATGACATTGATATTTGCTAGAACGGGTTCTTTTGAAAAAGCGCTCCATTCTTCCAAGCAATTGCGCAGATGACGGCGCACTCTCGTGATATTCCCCGTCGTCAAGACATGAAAACGCAAAAATATTTCGACAATGGAGTTCAATCTGAGCTGACATGCGATGGCTCATGTTATAGCTGGCGGCAATGAGTCTGTAGACTGATACACTCGAATGAAAAGTCTCTCTTCATTGTGCCGATTCCCATCATTGCTTGAAGACCCAAAAACATTTCGCAATTTAGGCCATCACATGCGGAAAGCCCGCTCCTCAGCTTTCAAGATTTTTCTTTTGTATTTACAGGACCCGTTTTCTGAATCCGATCGACGGCGCTTCAATTATTTTCCCTCTCAACTTATCACTCTACAACAATCACAAAGTTTGAATACGAGGGCTGGTTCATTAGTTTTGTCGGTCTTTATTTCCAATCATTGATTCCATGCAAAGGAGAACACACTTTTCTTCAACTGTTTTTCTTGACTAAAACTCAAGTTTTACAATTTTTTCGACATAAGGATTCATAAGTTGGAATTCAATATTATTTAAAGTCAGTGGGGAGGACATCGAGCATGTACCAGAATTTTAGCTGACGAGGACATGCAAAAATGAGCTTCTCTACATAGAAAAATCCTGCAGAATAATACAGTACCAATCACCAGTACTTGATTCTGTACCAGCCCTCGGGCATACTTTGTTCTTCGAGTGGAAAAACAGAGGTACTATATTGTACTCACCGGTCTCGATAGAGAAGACAAATTCGTTCCTTCGGAACTTTGAGCTTGTGTGAGACGACTTTCTTCAAGGTATCAACGGGATCAGTGATCGTGACCTGGATGGTGAACTGACCGCCGGTCGTGGGATGGACCGACACCGTCACGGCATTTTTATCTCCGGAATCTGATTCACACAATAAGTCCCACTTCACATCTTTCACGTCATTATCATTATCTTCCTCGCTTTCTTCGCAAGTCGAAGTCGGGATTGTGGCTTTTGGGGCGTTTTCCTTGGTTCTATTAGGCCAGCCCATTGTTGACACTGAATATAGATTTTGGAAACCAGATCACGCACTGAAATCTGTGGGAATAGACGATAAAAGCTCCCATTCAAATCAGAAAACATTAATTAAAATTGTGAAAGAAGCCAATTCCTGCTTTCCGGTGCATGACGAGCTCAAATGCACAGGTTACATAGATTTTTCGAAATGTACACCGTTGGATCATTTGGAATGTTCAATAGTTCGTTGCACTGCATCACACTAAGGGATAAATACACGTGTTTCAAAATAGTCACTAAATATAGTTTTTAGAATTGGGTTTTCCTCGTGCTCACCCATGAATGAGGTTTTAGGACAGTTATACATAGACAGCTCAGCTGCAGAAGGCAGCACACTAAAAGTTTTTCTTAGACAGTGCACACTCAGCTATTGCAGTGTGTTCGGGCCATTCGGGGATTGCTCGGGAAGGTTTGCACATGCGAAATTCTTTTAGCCTGCTTTTCTGACCCCTTTTTGACTTTCGGAGCTCTTCTGAAAATACGATGACGCAGTGGAGACCTTTTTCAATGGTAATTTATATGGCGGTTCACATGTGGCTGACGCCATGCAGTTCCTTCTTAATGTCGAGTGACATTCACTGCTTACCTTTTGTGGGCCCAATTTTTTGGAGTTTTTTACACATTTAAATTCACTTCTATTTATTTCTTATCTCATATATCTTATCATTCGATTTCATTCATTTTTTTCATGGAGTGACCTAGCAATTACTGTACATGCAGCGTTCTTTAACGTGGAGAGCCAATGTTGAAAATAAACACTGTACTGTACTACCTACCCCTATATACCGCGTGAAAAACATTAGTGTTGCGTTTCTTCAAATTAGTCACCGTCGTAATTTTCGCATCAATTGCATGGTAAAACTCAGCAGAGCATACACGTACTGTTACGCCGCATACGATGCCAGCAAATGTTGTTCTAAATTCACTAAAGAAATTGTGCACGGCATTCGTCTCGTGACATGCCTGCAGCCTGCGCACAGTGAAAATTGTGTACTCCTATACCTGCGTTCCACTTGACATTTCACATTTTTCAACCCGCAAACATATTTTGTTCTCAAGTAAATCCAATGCTGTGCAGGATACCATGATGGACGTCTAACAACTTTGTATACACCAATCATTGTTGAAGATTCTTACATTTGTTGCACTAAATTGAAGGAACTGGAAACAGAATCATACCGATAATTCAGTGGTGATTTTAGATTTTACCTACCTTTTTCAAATTTCGGCATACTCTTCGAAAAAACCACTTCGTAAGTTAACCTTTATTGCTGTATTCATTTATTTGAAACATGAATGCATCATGCTCTTCATATATAGTACAAAAAGTTTTGCTACCTTCGAAAATTTTTATCATGATTACGATTCTCCAAATCAAAAAACCTTGTAATATTCTTGGGGACTTCAATCGTGCTTTTAAAATCCTTCAATATCCAAAATAGCTCAAAAAGCGCTTTCTCGGTAGGATAAGTTCAGATTGTTATTTTTAAAATCCACTTTTCCACCTAATCAAAGCTGGACTTCCACTTAATATATTGCTGACAATCGTTTCTGCGCCAAGCACTTCGATATTCTGAAATTACAAAAGTTTGATGAATATTTTCTTTCAGCGTTTTGGTCTCAAGGGAATCCAACGCTATGGAGGTCCGAGCACAGAATCAATGAATTTTGGAAACCGAAAAGGCCGACAGACAGAAAAAAAACAATACAACCACAATCTTATATACAGCGCAGTCGGCTGTTTGGTACGATTGAGTTTTCCAGACTTGAAAAAAGGCACTGAGTAAATGAGCAGAAGGTCTCGAGCATGTGTCGGGGAATCACAGAATAACCAACGGAAGAACACCGGAGTCCAACGCAGGAGTACTGGTGACGTTTTGATCTCAAGCGCGTGCCTGCCAAATCACCGATCTCCCCCGAAAATACCGTTCCTTGGAACCGGAACTCGCGCTGGCGAGGGCGAGACTGGGACTCACGAAGCTTCGTCTTCTGCGGGACTGGCACCAGCTGGTGAACAACGGTAGTCCCATTTTTTCGCGGGCGCAGAAGTGGCGGGACCCAACGCAGCGCCCTAGAGGCATGATTCGTTTCCCTGGTAGATGCATACATAGATGGAGGCAGCGGCAAAACATGGTGGCGCTCTTATCCGTTGTGTGAAACCCTGTGCTCCTATCTGCTTGGCTCGAGCACGTGCTACAAATGTTCATTATGTAT